CTAAAGTATAGATGAAAATGATATGTAGAGGAGAAAAGAAAACAAGATAAGTTTTCCACATTTTTCTTCATATTTCTTGAGCTCAACATATGTTGTTTATATAGGGGTTGAAAAGAGCCGTTACAAAATCCCTCAATAAATTTCGTAACGTTCGTCATAATGTATAGTCATTATGCCCATTTTAATTACAAATTAAAACACATTAAAACATATTTTAATTGCATATTTTAATTACAAAAATTTATTAGAATTTATTAAGGCAAAATTACCTTTTCTTTAAAAATATCCAACAGCCCCCCCCAAAAGGCAATATTGACTGAAAACTTAAAAATCAATAAATAAATTAATAAATCACAAAATGAAAATAGGTTGGGCAACCTTTCGTATCGTGAATTTGGGAAAGGTAGCTTTCGGCTTTGAACCTTTCCTTAGTGAGTTCATCGCCACCTGAGGGACATAATGGACTAGGCCTTGAATTAGGCCCCTTTAATCAGGTATTGATGAAAACACACACAATACGCTTCATCTATTGAGCAAAGCGGGTTGAGCGTTAAAGGCCATGCTCACAATAAACCGACTCATGAGAGTTTCTAGGGGTTAGCCCAGCCCCCCCTAACCGCGGCCATCACGGTTCCTCTCACGTAGGTAAGTCCTCAAAGGGTACTACAGCTGTTTATTTAATACCCCCCACAATACACGCGTTGGACTTATTAAGAGTAAAACTCAGCCTAGCCAGCTGTATCATAAGAGCATCGTCACCATAGAGAAGAGATAGTAGAAGATGCTACATAATAATATATGAATATATCTAAGTCGATGCTCCATACGAGTGTCACTAGTCCAGCTTGTTTCTACCACATTGAACCGACATTGGGACTACGTCTCCAAATAAGGGTTGGGTTGCCGCTGTCAGTGACCTCATCTATGGGCTTAACCCCATCTCCCTCGATGAATCCAGAACCACACTCCTGGATAGACCATTTGTCAAAGAGTCATCAAGATTCTTTTCACAGACTTTACAAAGTCTAGAATCATAATTTTGCCTAGCAGGCGTTGTATTTATTTATCAAGTTCTTATTTTGTAATTAGTCCATCATATTGTTTGAAATTGACATTAGGTCATGATCTATGATCATAAAAGATCATAGTCTATGTCTGAAGAGATTGACCTTAATATCTGAACATTTCAAACTAATGTGGAACTAAAAATTCTGCAGTTATGCATATGCACATACATGAATGAAATTAATAATAGATACATGCAGAGCATAATAGGATTTCGTATCTTAAAATATATTTTCGTATCTTAAAATATATTTCATACTTCATAATTCAAATGCATAAAATTTTTAAATTATTCTATTATAAGAGGTTACAAATTGGTTGCCTACAAAGGAGACCGTCCAAATTTAAATCGGTTGCCTACAAATGAGACCTTCCAAATTTAAATTGGTTGCCTACAAATGAGACCTTCCAAATTTAAATTGGTTGTCTACAAAGGAGACCTTCCAAATTTATGTTGCCATTTTCTAGTACCACCTCTTATATAGATAATAATAATAATAATAATAATAATTGTACATACGTGCTTTAAATTTTTCAAGTGCATTCTTGCATAAAACCTTGTAATTAATCATGTAACAAATGCAAGTTATCTAAAAAGATATATGAGCATTTATTGCAATATTCATTAAAATGCAATAAAAATGATGAACTTTACATTTGAAGATTTGAAATATAATCCACCATATAAAATAGAATTTTAAAAAATGCACCTCTTTGATTTGTTCGCTCATATATTGATCATTTATCATTAGGCAATATATGATGCAAGAAGTGTAATTAAATAAATGCATATGAATTATTCTCATAATTCTGGTCCTCTTATTCCAAACCAAAAACTCCTAAAGTGAAAATATTAAAGTTTTACCCGGGTAGTTAGCCAGGTAAGGATAGTAATAGAGGTTGATCAAAGATCAATTAAGTACCTCGTTCCTTGCAGAGCGCATTACGCAACCCTTAAACCTTGCCTTAGACACCAACTAATCCAAGAAAACTTGAATCGGTTCACTCAATGAGTTTTTGTTTCTTAACAGTAACAGAAAACTTTAAAATATTTTCTGCAAGCATTTGATTTGCCTAAGCAATTATACTGCAAGCATATGTTGGATAAGGCCGAGGAGGGGTTTACCTATTGATGTTCGAACCTCATGATTTTCATGTCTTGAGAGTAAAACTCATCTGCTGCAGACAGCTGCCACTTAAGTTGCTGAACAAATCTGCATTCACTTTTACCACCTTCTGTACTAAGCTTATTAGATGTATAAGCACTTCAAAGTATGGAATTATTAATAATAGAAGGTACAATATTCATAGTTTAAAGAAATGAAAGCATTAAACCATAAACAAAACAATCCAGATATTTCAAAGCATCTATGCATCCAGAGTTTGTTCTCTTTATTCTTGTCAAAACCATGCATATGAAATTTTTTAAGAATAAAAATATACACTGCTGCAAATTTATAGCATTTTTCAAATGCGTGCATATTCACTAGCACAAGGGGATAAGGGTAGATTTTAGATGATTCTAACAAATATAAACTAGGCTTTTAGAAACCAATAAATGTTCTTTCATATTCGTAACTTGCAATCTGATACTTGCTCTAACTTTAGAAGTTTTTTCAGCATTATGAACCAAAAATGTTTAAATGAACAGTAACATTTTTTAATAAAATGAACAGTAAAGTTTTTTTAAATGAACAGTACTGTTTTTAAATAAAATAAAAAACGGTTTTTAATGAACAGTAAAATCCTTTTATTTTTGAATGAACAGTACAGTAACATTTTTTAATAAAATGAACAGTAAAGTTTTTTTAAATGAACAGTACTGTTTTTAAATAAAATAAAAAACGGTTTTTAATGAACAGTAAAATCCTTTTATTTTTGAATGAACAGTAAACTTTTTTTAAAAACATTAAAAACTGTTAAAAATGAACAGTAATGTTTTTTTAAATAAAATTAAAATCTGTTTTTTTAATGAACAGTAAATTATTTTATAATGAGCAACAATTCTGATTAAATTGCGAACAGTAATAGCAAATTTTTTTAATTCGGATGAACAGTACTATCTCAAATGAACAGTAACTTTAAAAATTATTTTTCCGGGTTTAAATCAAAAGCTATAAACATCTCAATCTTCTAGATTGTTGGAAATTTATCAAATAAATAAAGATTATAGCATGAATTTAAACCCGGAAATTAAATAAATAATACATCAAAGATAGATAATATAAATTAGAGAAACAGACCTGACGGGAGCAGTCGTGTAAACACTGCCCTAGAAGATTGAGGACCCGCCTATCGCCCTGGCGCAGATGATCTCTTCTCCCCTAGCGGTAAAAACCCCCGGAAACGGCCCGGCCTCTGCACTCGGGCGAGAGTGCAGAGCTTCAGCTCAGATGAAGAAGTTGCCCATAAAGTAAAACTAAAGTATAGATGAAAATGATATGTAGAGGAGAAAAGAAAACAAGATAAGTTTTCCACATTTTTCTTCATATTTCTTGAGCTCAACATATGTTGTTTATATAGGGGTTGAAAAGAGCCGTTACAAAATCCCTCAATAAATTTCGTAACGTTCGTCATAATGTATAGTCATTATGCCCATTTTATTTACAAATTAAAACACATTAAAACATATTTTAATTGCATATTTTAATTACAAAATTTTATTAGAATTTATTAAGGCAAAATTACATTTTCTTTAAAAATATCCAACACATGTTGTGTTCGAAGATTTCCTGTTTTGCATTTTTCTTCTTTTTTTCTGTGGTAATGAAGTGAACGGGGACCGAACTCAAGACTGTGGGAACCAATATTGAAACCTTCCAACCATTCGGTTCAGTCACAGTTCTCTTATTGTTTAATTGTATTCATTTCTGTATTTATCAATTGATGTGCATTCATGTCTTTCTTCTACTTTTAAAATGGCTCTCTGAAATTGCAAAATAAGTTATTAAACTTTTTGTTAGTGTTGATATCTAACAATTTATTAGCAATCCACTGATCTACCAAAGAGAGAACAATCGAAGAAAGAATACAATTACAGAAGACAAACGCCGGGGTTTAATGAAGAAATCAATGTGATTACCTACGTGCTTAGAATATAACCATGTCACGAATCGAGTCAGTAGACTAATAATCAACAGAGTTTGGGCTCAATCTCTCAAGCCCTATGCCACCACTCTGTCGTCCCTATTTTTGCTCTTTTGGATACCATCCCCAGCCCGCGACCCCCCTCCGTTGGGTGCAATTATGTAGAGGTTCAACTTGGGGCCCTCTGCTGTGTATTCTAGCTCCATGTAAATAACATAAGCTCATGGTCACTAAGGCAACACCGGATTGAACAATCACGATAGCTAGCTAGCTGAGATAGAGAACAGGTGACCGATAAACATTATTCATTAATTGTTATGATTAACCTGGCAGTTTCCAAAATTAGCACCTAAACTAATGAGCATGTTGAAAATTTCTCATGCACTTGCAAAATTTAAACCAAATGAAAGGAGTAAAGCATAAGATTATTACCTCGGTACTAAAATCAAATAAACTTTGTCAAATAGCTAGTTTTCATGTTAAACATGCGGCTAGCTTCCTCATTCTAGATGAAATTCTTTACGAACAACTTTGGGTATTTCTTCATGAGGAGAGTATTAACTACTAGAGGCAGAAAACAACGGATTCGGATCCTCTCCACTATCTAAAAAGTAGTGGAGGGATCACTACTACATAATCACAACCATTAATTATCTAGTTGGTGGTTGTGATTTTTTATTTGAGTGCAAATTAGGAATGAGTGCAATACACGGGGCTATGGTGAGTGTTAGATTTAGATTGTATCACGACCGCCTACTAAATAATTAACGATTGAGAATAAAAGTAGTGGTCTCTCCACTATTTTTTTGTAGTGGAGAGGATCCAAATCCGAAAACAACACCCTCCAATTTTAATAAACAGTTACCCTCTTGTTGAACTGAACTAAAGATTAACTTACAGGTATCATTCAGATACTTACATTCACTTGTCATCACAATGTTCTCTTAAATATTTCTGAACATACACAAGGTTCTCCTTGCAAGTGATAAATAAAATATCCTTGTGAAGAATATGTAATTTCAATTGTTTCGACACTCAAGTGCAGAAGCAGCCGATTCCATATGGCCTAATAAGCAAGCATATATCTTCTGCTTTACCCGATCAACAGTATCTACTGATCCTATCATCTCATTTTCCATTTGATCTAACCAATCACTCGCTTGCTTGAGCTGTGACAAGGTTACCGCGATTCTCTCATCTGTTTCCTTTGAATGTGCACTCTCTTGTCTTTTGTTGCTCTTCTTCATACTCAAATTTGCCTTGAAACCATTGTCAAGTGCTCCTTCTAAAAATCTCAAGAACCATGAGTTTGATTCATTTTCAAGAGTAGCCCTCACTTCTTTAATCTCCTTGATACCATCAACTCTTGCCCACTCTAGCTTTTCATTTGCAGAATGCTCCTCTGAGAGAATTTGATGATTTTGAGCATTTACAATGCTAGATGGTGAAGTTTTTCTGTTATGTTTCTCTTTTTCTGAAGGAGATGGTTGCTTAGAGTTCTTTGTGAAATCTTCTTGAACTATGATGTATGGTTGTTTTAAGAGCCTCTGAAGTGAGAAGAACTTGGTGAGGGAGACATGAGGTTTTTCTTTGGTAGCAGACTTGCGTAGATCAGCAAATATGCTGGTGACAATTATCAAATTAATTAGAAAAGAGAGGTATATATGATGACAAAGATTTTAATTTTATTCATATTGTATTCTATAAAACTTGTGCAGCATGCTATTTTAGCTGCAACAGAGCCTTTTTTATGTCTATAAATCTAATAAACATGTTTATTAGTGAAACTAAGATGAACAGGTAGATGCTAGACCTGAGCCCCTTAACAACAGACGCAGCTGCAGTTGCTTCTCTCTGAGCCTCAGCTGCTACGAGAAAAGCAATATTTTTCCTTCTAACAATCCCCTGTTCAAAGATCACAAGCTACTGAGAAGGGGGAGAAGAATGCAAGTGTGGATTGAGAAAATAACCTCAGGAGGAAAATTACTGCAACGTTTCTATAGGGAAACCTATATTAGTCAGATACCTTTCCGGATTTTATCAGACTTGAAGGAAGGGAATCCCAAGTGATTGTATCCACGACTCCTCTTTTAGTACTGCTCTTAGGAGAAGTGTGCAGGTCAGAGGGCATTGCCTTCTTTGCAGTATGAGTAGTTTTCAGAGAGGAGTTGAAGTCAGAAGGCACTGGCTTCTTTGTGGTCTGAGCAGTTTTCAGAGAGGTCTTTTCGGAAGTAGCCTCTTTGATGCCTCCCACTCGGACTTCTTTCATTCCTTTTGGAGCATCATTCTTAGTTTTGGAGGGAGAAATAGGCTTTGCCTGTAGTACTAGAAATGCACATAATCATCATCAATCATCTTAATGTGAACAAATAAAAGAGTTCAAGTTGTTAATTATCTTTAAAATATGAAAAAATACGAAATATCAGTGATATGGTTAGAAGTTGCACTCAGATGTATATCTGTGTGTCAGTGAACTAATTTGGAAAAGGGTTGAAACTTAAGTTTAGGAAATTAAGGAACGAACTTGTATATGAATATTGCTCTCTATATAGCATCATTAATCAATACCCTGTTAACTATAAACTTTTCGGGCTTTGATTTCGACGAGTTTCTGAATACTTAATGTGTGAATAAAGAACATTTCTGAAAATTGTCTCACAAATAGAAAAATACTGGTGTAGCTCTAAAATTTAAAATTAACTCCTTATGGTTACTGTGACTATGTTTTTCAGTACGTTCTTAGTATTAAACATAAGTACATCTGTTGAATAAAAGACAAGTTTAATGCCTACCTCACAATTTGGCTCTTGCCTGCCCGTCGAAGAGCTTACTTTCTTATTTGCCTTGACAACATTATCATCTCCAGTAACTTTCTCAATACCAGCATCAGAAACACCCTTCAAATATCTAGATGCAACCGAAACTTTCTCCTCCTTAATAACAACTTTTTTCTTCGGGCTCTCTCCTTGATTTAATTTTTCAGCATTCTTTCTATAATCCAAAGCTTCTAGATCATCTGAAGGCACCAACATATTCATCAAATCCTTAGGATTCCCAATACATGGATTTCTTCCAGGAATTGGCCTAACTCCTACGAGAACTGGAACTGGGGTTCCAGCCTCCACTTTATCGACATAAATGAATTGGCCAAGCTGCAATTTGTTTGAAAGGATCAGCTCATTATCATCTTTTGATAGAGAGACATAAGTCGAGTGCGAAGAGTCTGAGATTTTTATGAAGAATCCGTGATCAGGCCAGAGCTCTGAACCAGTGATGGCGGGTACTATACTGATCACTTGTAGAAGAATGGATCTATGCTCTCCCATTATTTTGATGTTGGTGTCTATGTTTTTGAGAAGCTTTATTAGTACTCCCGGAGTAAGAGATGCCATTTATCCTTTTCCCTTTTTTCGAATCTATCAAATAAAAGAGCAATCAGCAGATAGTTTAACTATACAAACTTAGTTATGTTTTGTGGATTGTACTAAAATTTCATGTTTCACTCAACACGAATCATAGTCGCCGCAGTTTTAGATGGTTATGATTCAGATAATGTTATCTATTAACTAATTGCAATATAGAGGATCGGAATGTGAATTATATATGACTTTGGCGGAAGGAACCCAGTAGTCTGCATAGTTTTGTACATCAGATTGCCGTTTGAGAAGAAAAGTAAATTTTAAGTGAAAGCATACGTACACTGTGAATTTAACCTTAAAATCTAAAAGAAAGTTACTAATTTGCGAACAAACTTTCACCATCAAACAAATTGAATGTACTAAATCTAGGAGTATATCTACATCGTGATATATTAACTTATTGAAGGACCTGTGAGTAGAATCCCCTCACCGTATGTCTTCTTAAGCTTAACTCCCGGTACATGATGACTCAAAAATCTTTCAAAAAATAAAATAAAATGTAGACGTGTGTTCTAAAATATATGAATTCCATGAATGAATCTATATGAACGAATGATGGATCATGACAAAGATAACAATTAATCTATCGAAAAATGCAACTACGCAGCCAAATCACAAATTATTGTAAACTTTTTCCTTTCTTTCATTTGTAATGCATAAGGAAAATGAGAGGAGAAGAGTGGCAAAGAGATTACCTCTTAGAAGAACACACGGCATCAACAAAGGCAATAAATTGCGGGAAAATGTGGGATATAAATATTTATATAATTATTCTATGATTTTGTCTTGCTCCAACGGCAAGGAAGGAAGGTGAGCAGCAGGCTGTAGGTGCCTTTCAAGCCAGAATTCTGAAAATACCCTGTCGATACTTGCTTCGGCTCAATGACGATAATGCCCTTCCGTCTCACTTTTATATGGGAACGGACGAGGACAATGTCTTAGGTGAAAAGGGTTATTTTAGGAATTGGGGGTGGGGGGTCGTTGTCTCTTTGAGATGAACAGTTGATCTATTGTTATATTAGAGGATCTACACACCAGATGCTGGTGAGCAGTCGTGATCATATACAAGAGGCTGATTTTGGGTTGAATTTGAGAGGATTTTTTTTTTCCCTATAATGTAATGAATTTAAGAGTTTTTTGTTTTAAATCTTTTGATAAGAGCTACGGAGCTTACTAATTCTCTGATTCCTTTTGGTAACAAAATAACTACTGCAACCGAAGTAACTAAAATAATAAATGATTATGACCGAGTAACTATCTGTCTCTTGAGAGAATCAAAGTTCAAAAGAAATTTAGAGCAAGAGCTAACTAAACACAATTTCCACGGATAAAGAAAAGGTCGGGTAAAAGTTACTATGACCGAATAAACCAAAAGAAAAAAAAGTCGGGGATAAAAACGTCGACACATCCCAACTCTCTTGTTGTTCTACTACTACTACTACGACAAGGCCCGGGCCTCAATTTCCGCCCGAACCATACCCGCATAAACTCCCTCAACATGTTTCTTCAACAAAGCATCATGACTCCCAAACTCAACCACGCTCCCATCTCGAACCACGGCGATGCGATCAGCATCTCTGATGGTGGCTAGTCTATGTCTATGAGCCACAACAATGGTGGTGGCGCGCTTGGCGGCCCGTTGAAGGGCCTGCTGGACTAACTTCTCCGATTCGAGGTCAAGAGCACTGCTAGCCTCGTCTAGTAGTAGTATCCTTGATCGTTTCAGTATTGCTCTTGCTAATGCTATCCTTTGCTTCTGGCCTCCTGACAGTTGAACCCCACTCTCTCCTACCTGTACACGCACCAAATTGTTAGCTACGGAGGTTATCTGATTGAGTTGAAAAACGCATCGTTTATGGCTTAAAAATGTTGCAACTATGACTTGCGCGAAACGGCGTAAGTCCTTACCTGAAGACGTTTTCGCAGCTGTAGTTACAACTGAATTTATTAGTCGCAATGATACAGATAACTGTAACAGATTCAAAAGATTAATGCCTCAGGGACCCCAAATAAATGATACTACCAGGGGGGACACCTCACATGTTCTACCATTTGGGTCCCCTATTTGGGTCCCTGTAGCAGCGCCCGATTCAAGATGTCCAAGTTCCTACGGTTGAAACAAGCCAAACAATCTTAATCATTTGCAAGTAGAAAGTTACCTGGGTTTCATAACCTTGGGGAAGGCCGCTAATAAATTTATGTATCTGGGCCTCCTGCGCTGCCTCCTCAATCTCAGCCCGCGAAGCTTTAGGATTACCAAACCCGATATTTTCCCTAATACTCCCACCAAAAAGGGCCGGTTCCTGGCCCACTAAAGCACACTCCATCCTCAGCCACTTCACATCCAACTCTCTCACATCCACTCCTCCAACCATCACCCTCCCTTCATCAGGATCGTAAAACCTTTGAACCAACCAAACAATCGTCGATTTGCCGCTACCGCTCGGCCCGACTACCGCTACCATGCTCCTGGGCTTGGCCCGCATCGTAAAGCTCTTTAAAACAGGCTTTGTAGGCCTTGTTGGATAAGCAAAAGTTACCTTTCTCAACTCTATTTCCAATGCTTGCCCTTCTTTAATTGCTATTTTTCGTTTTTCTCCGTCGCTACCTATCATGGGCCGACGGCCCATTATAGCCATCACACCTTCAATCGCGGTATCTGCATTTGTAGTGTCCGGAGCCAAGCCCGCGAGTTGGCCCACTGAGAATGAGCTAAGAACCAAGATCAAAAAGATCTTGTACACATCTCCGAAGCTCGTGTATCCCTTTTTAATCAAGAGAGCACCCGCCCATAACGTTACAGTGTAGGCCACATACATCGCCCCCTGAGAAAGCCCAAGACTGAGTCCCATGATTTGTGATCTTCGCACAGATTTGCTAGTAGGCCCCAGTAAGGCCCAACCAAAGGATGATACTATCCGATCTTGGGCCGATAGGGCAACGACGGTTCTAACATTGGCAACGGCTCCAGATGCCACATTGCTAGCCTTAGCATATGCACTATTGTCAACTTTAGGGCCCACATTGATGATCAAGCTGAAGTAGCTAGCGCCAAGCGTGAACGGCGTCATGAGCACAGCGACGAGTGTTAACCGCCAATCAATGAGAAACGATGCGGTAAGGCCCACAACAGCAGAGCCCAAGCCCATTAAGAGAACTGAAACACGATCACCGAGAATTGATCTGAAAGCAGCGCAATCACCAGAAAGTCGTGCAACGAGCGAGCCAGGTGAGCTGGTCTCCGGGTCAAACCAACCGGGCTCCTGACGAAGAATGGCCCGAAAAAGCCTGTCACGGACCCGAATAGTTAGTTTAGCTCCGGCCCAACCGCAAAAACCTTGCTGGCCTGTCATAGTCACAATGCATCCAAGGCCCAAGCCCACTAAGCCCAACGCCAAATATCCGACCTCTCTCTTCAACTTTGTTGGGCCCTCTGTGAAGTATATTTCCAAGGCCTGGCCCAGTAGTAGAGGGAAGATTGACAGAATTGCACCGGCGTTTACACCTAAAAGGAAGCCCAAGAGGAGTACCGAGAGCTCCGGCCTTTGCAGCTTCCACAGCTCCGATGTTTTAACTTTTGTTGTACTTTTCTGGGCCTCGATTAGTTCTTGAACGTCTATTTCTTCAACAGACTTGGCAATTTGGATAGATTTTGTTACGTCCATGAAGTACGACTTGTCGTAAATGCTACTGAATTGAGCCGAGGACTGACGGACCGCAGGCCCATCAAGGTCCGTGGCAGCCGCGAGCTTTAAAAGAGCGGCATACGGGCCAGAACGGGCCGCAAGGTCGGAATGGCGACCGGACTCAACGACTGATCCACGGTCAAGGACCACGATTGTGTCTGCCGATTGGATGGTGGAGAGACGGTGAGCAATGATAACGGTGGTTCGACTAGCGGAAATGCGCTCGATTGCTCGTTGAACGATGGCCTCAGATTCAGGGTCAAGAGCACTTGTTGGCTCGTCGAGGAGAAGGATACGAGAGTTTCGGATAATGGCTCGTGCAAGAGCGATACGTTGCTTTTGGCCGCCGGAGAGCTGAGCACCACGGTCACCAACCTATGATATTAATTAGAACCATAAGTCAGCTATATATATATTAGTTTGAAAAGATGTTAAAATTAATAAAATCTTAGTCTGGCCTATGAAATGTGTCACCTGAGTATCATATCCTTGAGGCAAGTTTATGATAAAATCATGTGCGTTTGCTGCGACGCAAGCAGAAACTGCTTCCTTTTTAGTAGCATTCTCTTTGCCCATCATCACATTCTCAAGAATGGAAGTTGAGAACAAAATTGGCTCTTGACTTACCATCCCAATTTGATCTCTCAACCATTTCACACTCAATATTCTCGTATCCTGGCCGTCCAAAAATATCGCTCCTACGTACGCCAAAATATATACATCAACAGACGACGAGGATTAAACAAACTACAAAGATTTTCTATCCCCTAAAATGTTTTTTTTTTTAATTATTATTCATAAAATACCTTGCATTGGGTCGTAGAATCTTTCGATGAGAGCAAAGATTGTAGATTTTCCACCGCCACTTCCACCAACTAAGGCTAACGTCTTCAATGGAGAAACGGTGAGATTGAGAGAACGGAGGACTACAGAGCGAGGACGTGAAGGGTAAGCGAAGGTCACGTCTCTGAACTCGATTTTGCCTCTGACTGATGAAAGTTTTCGGCCATTGGAGCTGTAGGGATCGATTGCAGGGACTCTGTCGATGACGTTGAACACTCGGGATGCTGCTACTGTGCCTTGTGCAAATTGTGCGAAGTACGAGAGAGATAAAGCAAGACCTCTGCGGCAAGTTCACAAACGATACGGGTTAGTATAAAAGAAATGCTGATTACATATTGAAAAAAGTCACGCGTTTTAGATATACTGCAAGCAATGAAAGTTCTTGATCGATGTACCAACTATCTAACGATCGGAGATCATCAAATAATTCATCGAGTTTAGGAGTGCGTCTACATTTTAAAAATAGTACGAAAAATTACCATTAGAACCTAGCCGCTTCGTTCTCTAAAAGCGATTCATCAATAGTCAGAATAATTTGCATATTTTTATGATTAATCAACAATCTTTGAGTTAGCGATTTATGTGTGTGTGCGCGCGTGTGTGCTACCTTCCGCCAACGTTGACACCGAAGAAACAGGCAATTGCGGCACCACCAGTGATCTCTCCCTTAGCAACCAAAATAGAGCCATACCAAAACGCAAGAGCCCACTGAGAGTACGTCACAAAATATATAACCCCCATCCCTGCTCCTTTGGCAAACCCTATCCTCCTCCCTATTGCCTCCGACTTCTGCAACGACTCAGCGTACTTGTCAGCCACCCGCTCCTCCATCACGAACGATATCACTGTCCTTATCGAACTTATCGCCTGCTGAGCTACATTCCCTGCCTTCCTATATGAAACCTGATGAAGATTCACCAAACAAAAATTAGTCCAAATATATCCTGAATCTGATAGTTATGACATTTGAATTAGAACCCCTTAAAATCCCATGGGCTCATGTTACTCAAAAGTCAAAATCCTATAACTTAAAATGTTTATTAACTTTTTCATTTTTTTTTATTTGGAGAAAAAAGATGAGGAGCATGGCCCCAGCCAGCTAAATTAATAAAAGGTGTTGTTACATATAATAAAACCAGATTCCCAACTCCAAAAATATGGTTTATTGGGTTCTCAACATCATATGTCATCATGACAACACACACCCCATACAGTTATGTACATAAAACTGAACAATTACGTACATTTATGTATTATGAGAGTGCAACNACCCCCCCCCCACCCAGAAAATAATAATAATAATAATAATAATAATGTGACAATATGTGACAATATTGGATTTACTAGCATTTTTACCCTCTGAACTTCAAATAGTACTATTCTTGTTTGGTTTAGATGACATTTGACATCATGTGACAATAAATTACCTTTTGCTCTTAGTTTTACTAATAAACAACTAAAATTTTCTATAAGATGTGTATAAAATGTGAAAGATGCTTAGGAAATACAGACGCTAACAAATAGTTTAGGACAACAAGTGACTACACTGACAACAGTACATGAGATGCATCTGCAAGTAGCTCATCTTTTAATGAACATTAACAGTTTTAATTTAAAATTTCTTGATTGACATTGTGACATTTGAAGCGAAACTAGTTGTGATTAATCTTACCTCCTCTTTGGTAGTGAGGCCAACATATACAGCCTTGTAGGCAATGCCGCAGAACATCATGAGGGGCGTGACCGAAAAGACAACGAGGGCTATCTTCCATGACTTCAGGAAGCCCACAATGTAGCCGTTGATGAAGGTGAATATGTGATGAATGAAGTGAGCCATCTGCATACGCATCCGTTTATATAAAACTTCAGCACTCGTCATATCTTCATAATAGATATCCACCAAAAGGTTATATATTTAGTGTTAATTACCACCAATTTTGCGTTGGATTAGAGAAAAATAGAAGAATGGGCGTCCTTAAGAGATAAATGCATCTGATATGTACGCGAAATTATTTCACCATTCTGAATTGCTCTGTGTATTACTTGTTAAATGTAACCAACGAAACTCATGCTAATTCTTTGATGCACTGCATGAATGTGTATGCTTCATAAGCACACTGGATGTAGGAAACATCCAACTAATTAATGCTACATGATACATTTTTAAAGGTTTTATTTATTTTACAAGCATAGGCAACAGAAAACACTTTCACCAGCCGGCTTTACATTAGTCAATTGAGTATGAGTCAAGCCGGCCTTAGGTTCTCTTTAAACTATCTAGAGGTCAAAGTTAAAAGAGAATTAATGGAAAGAGCCGAGTAAAACTTTAAAACGATGTCTTTTCTTCTCTCTTCTGCTTAAATAAGTAAAGCTTAACCCACATACTTAATGATGTACAACACTTAGTTCAAATCGATTATAATAATTTATGTGTTTTTAATGGGAATGCTAAAGCATCAGGCTAAGGACAAATGAGAATTCAACAAGACAGTTTAGGGGCGTACACAACAAGGACTATATCTTTCAATTCTCACCATATGGCCAAACTTAGGACAATTTGTGGCAATATGAATCATTGATCCTAATTGCCTTATTCAATAAAGAGCGGCATCCATCAATTATTGTGATGTTGAATGATATCATTAATACAGTATTTTAGTCCTTATCATTCCAAACAAATAAATTGTACCTCGTAGGACTAAAATTATACAAGATGGTAGTTAGTTAGCAAATAATGATGCGTCAGAACCTTGAAGGTTATCAAATTAATAGGTCATACTACTTTCTTGTAATGTGTGATTAGTTGCTTCTCAAATAAAAGGAACAACTCAAGAAAATAATAATTTGCTACTAAACTTTTTGAGAAGACAATATACTACGGACTTAATCAATACATAATTCATTTATTAGAAAAACATCATTATTTTAATGTATTCTAGCTAAAATAACAGTGAATTTGCATTCTCAATCAACCATTGCAAGTCATCATCATATTATAAAAATCAACATAACAGTATCTTACCAACTAAACTCGATCGGTCAAAGAAAAACAGAAACCAAAAGGAAATATGAAGCTTTACCTTTTCCCCCATGACTTCTTGAATTTGGGCAACATCACTAGAAATTCCATGCATAACATCTCCTGTAAACCTTTTCCCCCATGACTTCTTGAATTTGGGCAACATCACTAGAAATTCCATGCATAACATCTCCTGTAGTAACTTCAGTGTCGAAGAATCCTTTGGGCAACATCACTAGAAATTCCATGCATAACATCTCCTGTAGTAACTTCAGTGTCGAAGAATCCAATGTCTTGCCTCAGCACTGCTGTAAGATATTCTGTTCTGATCCTCTGTGCCGATCTCTCTCCCACCATCCTCCAACAAGCAATCTCTGCATCATACAATCAATTTCAAATATGCTCTTGTAAAAATGAGAGGGACGCAAATAAAACTTTTTAAAAAAATGTTACCCATATAAGCTCCAATCACCACTATAACAGCGAGCACACCCATGTAAATCGATATCTATAAAAAAAAGGGACAAACACAAAAGAAATATGTATTGCTTAGGCATGCATCCAATATTGCAATCACAAAAAATGGCAACGTTAAATAAAGTATGTAGAAGGAAAGACCTGCTGCACATCCTTCATCATTTTAGACTTGTCAGTGACAGATTCTTGGGCGAGCTTGTTAACCAAATTGCCAAAGAGATAAGAGTACCAAGGGAGCGATCCACCATTGATCAAAGCCCCAATGCATCCCAAGAAGACCAAAACCAAGTCTAATTTGCTTGAATACTTGAACAGACTAAACAAACTCACTGGCTTACCCACAATCTCTTCATCCTCCTGTTCATCCTCATTCTCACCATCATCGTCAAAATCATAATTATTGCTATTCACGTCATGATGATGTCCCCGCTGACCAGGCATTGAACTCATGTAATCATGGTCACTGTGCAGAGGATGAACATGGTGGCTGTGGAGGTTATCGGGGAAGGACGTATCATGCTCCATATGAAGCTGTTTATGACTGAAGCGAGCGAAGGACGCGTGATGCTGCATATTATGCTGATCATGACTATGTTGATCATGAGAAAACGGTGCATCATCGACCTGATGATGGTGATCCTTAGCAAACCGTACATGAGCAGCATGTCCAATGACCGAATCCAATGCATATGCGTGATGATGATGCCGATCGTGTTGTTGATGGTGATCCTGGTGGTGGTGATTATCATGGGTACTAGCTGGTTGCAGCTTCACAAAATAGGGTGAACCATAGTCAACCGTGCTGAGTTCATCCTTACTAGCCAAAGAAAAATCGGGCGCGGTCTGATCACGAACCCGACCCACTCCGAAATTAGGAAACATAGAAGAGATGCCCATGCTTGCATCGCCCCGATCCGGCCTATTAACCACATGGCTCTGTAGCTCAAGCCTCCAACCAAAGGCCGAGCTAGCCTCTCTAGACATCTCATATAGTGGATTTGAAGGATAGTAAGTAATCTTGGGCAGTCCTGCGGCTTAAACGAGCTGGGCTCGCCTGCGAATCGAGCGGGCCGCGGCTGGCACCGGATCGGTGATCGGGCTGGAGTGGAGGCCCACGGCTGAGGGCAGCCGCTAATTCCGGTGGCCTCGCCCCATCCGGTGGCTCCACTTCGCCATGACACATCATCCTGCCACGTGGACAAGCGATCTTCATCGAGATGACGACTTCGACGACGACGACGAATATAAGGGGAGGTGCAATCGCGCGCGTGAACGAGCCAGAGCGGCCGTCGTGTTGGGGGCCATGACGAGGGGAGGCCAGACGGTCAACGGAATATTCGACGGTGAAGGAAAAATCAGCCATGAACTAGCTTCATAAATGAACGTTAGTTATGCTCTCTTTGGTAACAACTAACTTAGCAAGTGTAAAATATAGAGAGAGAGGTCCTTAGATTTTGGGGGCTATGGTGGCAACGTTCATTTGTATTATAGTTAATTAGCGTTAAATGTTAAATTAACATGAAAGTTTTCTTGGATCTTGTCTTTATTCATGACCTCTGAGCTAATCATTACATGCAATTCTATTACTGGTAGGTGTTGGGACGGTATCCTCGTCTTCATCTAATGGGTTTTCCCTCAATTAACTTCTTGCCAAACAACAAATGGCAACAAGAAAGGGAGGAGATACTCCCAACTAACAAATGGCAACAACAAAGGGAGCAGATACTCCCAACTCAACGGTGATAATCAAGTTTTCTACTCTCTTAATTGACTTTGTAGCCCGTTATAGATTTAAAAAAACTAGTTGAGATGCACCTGCAATGCACGCGGTTGAATATCATAATTATTTAAATTGATAAAAATAGAATAAAAATAAAAAAGAAAATAAAGTTTTTTATGTGATTAATCATCAACTCAATAATCTCTTTCTCAAAAGAAATACTGTCATTGTTTCCCTCAACCCAGACTATGACCACATGATCTACTACTTGTGAGTTATAAACACATTAATCTAGTATAACATCTCTGTTTTTTAGTATCTTGAAGTCTTCAAAAGATGGGTGATCATTCAATTTACAAAGGAATTTTGTATATGAATTTACTTACAATATGTCTATTAAACTTTTTTTTGTGGTTTGACGCATATTCACATTAACTTTTAGTTATGATTTCACTCATATTTATATTATCTAATATTCTCATTCAATTTTATAGCTTATTCTCCATATCATAGAAGTAAAAAGTGAAAGTATGAAGAATTATTTTCTTACAAAATTAGAGCATGGAGATTATAATATATTTTGCTATGTGTTCTAAATATAAAATTTTTTTTTTCTTTGATGCAAGGTCCCTAACAAATCTTGCCCCAACCAATGTGAATGAAAAATGCTAGTATAACTCACTTGTCTAGGGCAAGTGTATTGTATATATGACATATAACTCATTTGAGATATCCACATCTACTAAGTTAATTTTGTTGTTTGTGAGAGCAAAATGTTAGAGGCTCACATTCAAACTTTTTAGCTCTATATAAAAGCCACAAGAATTTAGAGTGCATAGCTTATATATCATAAAGAATATACTGGTTCATGAAGAATTTTCCCTAATGACGATATTATTACAACGATATTACTATTAAGTACTAAATCAATTTTATTATACAAGATTATATGATCTTTTTTAATAAATTATAAAGTATATATATGAAAACCTTGATGTTTATGGCTAGTAGTTGTGCTCTAGAAAATATGTTAACATTAAATTTTAGTTTACTATTAGCAGTATTGTTGGCTATACCATTACATTTCCTCTTTATCTTATTATTCACGTTTTTATTGTATAAGTTCTCTTTTACTAATTACTCAATTGACTATATTTAGTTTTCCTAATATCATGGATTAGAATATTCTCTTCTGTTTAAAAAGTATTGACATAATTTTCTTAAAAAAATATTTATACATAGTAGCAATAATATATACTTCAGTTCAACTCAAACATTAGCTTGAATCCATTTAGAGTGAGGTCTTTTCTACACTAGAATGGTATGATATAGTGATTACACAATCCAAAAGTGGAAGAAGAAATTTCTAAAAAGGAAAAGTGATTTAATATGTCAATTTAAAAACTAATTTATAAAATATAAATGAGTAGTCCAAATAATTACGGAAATGTATATATCTTCATAAAAATTCTATAGTTAGTGACCAACTACAATCATCATACTTTAAGCATAAATAATTATTATTTTAGTTACTAATTTGATACGCGTAACTATGAAAGAAATCCGAAATAAAAATAGGAATTGAGATTGTATTATCCTGTAGGTAAATAAATAAACGTTATTAGAACTCCTCTTTATATTAAATTTGAAAGTAATAATTTATTAAGTGCCAAATATTAGTTCATGCGAGGAAATAAAGTAATCTATTGTCTATATACTTATATAATCAATCAATCGAACGTATTAAAATTATGATAACCATAGTCAAAATTATATAATGGGTTCACATTAAATACAATTTATAAACAAATAGCATATTAAAGTCAAAATCCTTTTAACCACTATATAGATTGTCTGAAAATTTTTACATATATAAACTGTACTGCCAAAAAATAGTGATGTACACACTTAACTATGGCCTAATACATCTTAAGGATGACTTACTCTTCAATCATTATTAATTGATGTATCCATGCATTACACTGAAACCACAATGATAATTTAGAAAACTACAAAAGAAACACCTTCAATGGTTTTAAAAATTGTAAAAAAAACACTCTAAAATTTTATAATTTATAAATACACAAAACTATTAAATATTACATTGAGATCAATGAATTATAAAAAATCATTAAAAAATTTTCAATCTTTGGAGAGGTAATTTGTAATGTACTAAACTTTAAGGGTGTTTTTTGACAAATTTTAAATTTAATAGATTTTTAATTAGTTATGTTCTTCTCAAAAAAGTTATGGGCAATATTGATCATGAAAAGCTTTTCATAAACCTATAATTTTAAAGGGAGTATGATATTTTTTTTATAAATTTTTAATTTTTTTAGGAGTTGTTAGTAATTTGTATATTCATTCTAGTGTCTATAGTTTAGAAATTATCATGGTATTTTTTGTAAATTATGAATTTTAGAGGTTTTTTATAATTTTTTTAATTTATAGATATTTTATACAGATTGTAAATTATTTATAGACTATTTATAATTCTTGTGTTTTCAATTTATTAATGAGTTAGAAATTCTCAGAGTGTTTTTTATAAAATTTGATTTTTGAGTATTTGATTGTAATTTTTAAAACTTTAAGAGTGTTTTCTATAAATTATAAATTATTTAGGGTATATTTGTAATTCCTATATTTTCAATGTACTATTAGGTTGGAAATTATCATGATTTCTATAAATTTTATAATTTTGAGGGTCTTAGTTTGCGATTTGTAAAAAAAGCTTAGTGTTTATTGTAAATTCCATAATTTTTTGGGGGTTATTTATGTTATTTGTAGGTTTTTAGTGTGTTTATAGTTTGAAATTTTCAAGGTGTTTTTACAAATTTTAAATTTTTAGGGGTATTTTTTATAATTTTTAAAACTTACAAGATACTTTCTCTAAATTCAAAAAACTTTTAGTTTCTAGCTAGCATATGTTTTTCAGATTTCTCACTGAATTAAAATAAGTAAAATTTGCAATTTTTAAGATGTTATAATAAAATTTTAAATTTGTAGGGGTGTTTTTACACTTTAAAAAACTTGAATGATATTTTTTACAAAGTCCAAAAACTTTTAAGTGTTGGATAGCATATATTTTTTAGATTTCTCTGCGTACTGAAATATGTAAAGGATTCGAATCATATCAAACGTATCTCCTTTATCCAGTAACATGTTAAGTCTCATTACAAATAGATAAATCATTTAATTACGATCTCAAAGAATATAGGATAATTAGAATAGATTAGATAACAATGTAATATTTAAAAAAAAGTTAAAGATAATATTGACCATGGAAAAAATTTCCAAACTCGTACTTTTAAAGAGAGTGCGATAAGTGATTTATAAGCAGTCACATGTTGAATCCATCTAAACTTATTGAGTTAGAAAACATGAGGCTGACCTAATTAATTCAACGGCTAACACTCACCATTAGGGCCTTGCGGTCAAGGAGCCTGCAGGGATTTGTCATGTAGGTGAACACACATGAAATGGTCTCGGACTAAGTTCTAAATTGAATAGTTTTTGTTGGGGGAGAAACAAGGTCCAATCTATCGCGCGCCTATGCGGAAGCGTTGCACGCACACACAACGAACTTGAAATCACGGAAGAAGAAAGCCACACACTTGCACAAACCAAGCCAATTACGACAAATCAAACCAAACACAGAGATATACGTGGTTCGGCAATTGCCTATGTCCACGGGGAGAGGATGGGGAGATTTTACTATATGGAGGAGAAATACAACGGGTTACAACTCACAAAATCACTCAAATATAACTCTAACCAAAGCTCTCAACTCCCTCACAATATCTTCCTCTTAAAGTGCTCAAAACAATGTTAATTCTCTCCTTTTCTCTCCTTTTGAAACCCTAAAAAATATGGTCCTATTTATAATAAAACACAATCCCAAACAAAGGAGGATTCTCATACAAAGGAGGATTCTAAAAACGAGTCTGCCACACCATGCACCATGGGTGTGGCAGAGGGTGTGGTGCAGGACAGATTCTACCACACCCATGGCAGACACCACACCAGGGTGTGGTGGAGTCTGTTTTGGGTTATTCTTCACGTTTTTCACAATTCCTTCGCCGTTTTCACAATTCTCCACCTCAGCGAAGTGTTCCCAACACTGAGCCGACACCAACATGAGCACCAATGTGTCGTTTCTCTAAACTCGGCTGCACCAATGTGGTTG